TGAGGGGGGGGGGCGGGAAGCAGGGCAAGGGGGTTGGCTGGCCCTCGTGAATTGGGAAACACCTTGAATTGCCCCCTGTCTGCTCAAGCCCCTGCCCTTTTCTGTGAGCGGCCACAGGAGACCGAGGCCACACATCCACTCGTTCCTCTCTTAAAGCGAGGCTGTGCCACATAAAGTCCCCTGAGGAGAAAGACGAGCCACAGGCCGCAAGCGCAGCCATATTTCTTCTCCAAGTAGAAGAAACCTTTGCCCCTACCTCACCCCCTTGAGAGAAGATACCCCTCCATCTGCCAGTTTCGGGGGATCTGGCGGGGGCCACTGGGCTGCTTACACGCTCAAGATGGAGTCACCTCATAGGGGGTTAAGTGATGCCCTCTGGTGGCAGCTGGTGGTCTTGACGCCGCGGAGAGCTGGTTCAAATCTGGATTTCTTTCTTCCAGACTCAAACTGTCATCCACACCATGCAGAGCGCCCCCGGACAGATGTTCCCTGTAAGTTTGAAAGCTCAGGTCAGATCACGGCCCCACCGTGTGCCCCTTCACCAAGGACTGAATTCTCTAGACCCAGAGGCAGGAAGGAAGTGCAGCAAAGAGGATAGAGTTTTGGGGGGTTGGGCCTTCTGCTCAGGAGGCACATGAGTAAAATGCCCCTGGGGACGGCAAAGATTCTGGAGCGGGTTTCTCAGGGACCAGCAAAAAAAACTGGTCCTGCTGTCACTGAGAGGGGAGTGCAGCGGTCCCAGCGTGTGGGTATGAGACTCTGCGTCCTGAGGACAAGCCCCTGGCATGTCACCGCGGGTCACAGGCTTAAGCTGCTGCTGCTTCTCCCGCCACGGGCACAAATCAGATGGGAGGCCTGGAGTTAGTGCGGCTACCTGCAGGCAGGCGGCCATGATGTCAGGGAACATGGCAAGAAGTTTCACCAAGGCTGACTTGAGAAGGAAGGCGAAGCCGAGAGGCCAGGGGCCTCTGGAATGTGGGGGTCCCATGTGGGTGTGCACTCCCAAACCAAACTTCCTGGTCTCTTTCAACAGAACCCCGCCATCCCACCTATGGCGTACCCCAACCCAACCTACGTAAGTGGTTTCTCTGGGAGGGGCGGACGCCTTGTTCAAGTAGGGCAGGGTGGGAGGTGAGGGGCGGCTTACAAAATTAAGGCAACTCTTTAGTAAGCTAACGTTTGAAAACATCCAAGTGAATTAAAAGGCTGTTGAAAGGAGCTGTCACCTTTAAAACTATCCCTTCGACATGAGCATAGGCTAGGGCCTTCCCCTCAGCCCAAGCATCCTATGGCATCCGGCCAAAGCTCTTTTCATGACAACTTGAGCCTGTTACTCTGAGCAATGCTGGAAAGTTTTCCGTTGGCATTTACTGAGCCAAGTAAGGATATTACGGAGTTCTTTCTTGAAAATATATTACTCTCAGAAGTGGCCGTCAAACTCAGCTGATAGTCCATATTCATGGAAATTGGCACAAAACCCCCCCTGCGACTGACCTGTCCCCTCTCCTCCTGATAGTCGATGCCTTTCTTCACCTCCATCCCGGGTGGGCTGTACCCCTCCAAGAGCATCATCGTGTCTGGCACCGTCCTGCCCAGTGCCCAGAGGTAAGCCAGGGCCCTCAAGAAGGCTCTCAAGGTCCTCTGGTCATCCTCCCCTAGCTCTGGGCAGGCTGGGAGGGGTAGGGACTCAGAGCTCAGAGGGCAGAAGAGGTTCATGGGAGCTGCCCATGCCCAGGTTCCACATCAACCTGCGCTGTGGGAGTGACATCGCCTTCCACCTGAACCCCCGTTTCGACGAGAACACCGTGGTCCGCAACACACAGGTCAACGGCTCTTGGGGGTCCGAGGAGCGAAGCCTGCCCCGAAAAATGCCTTTTGTCCGAGGCCAGAGCTTCTCGGTAAGATGCCACGGCCGGAGCACAGAGGGTGTCAACGGGCAAACAAAGCAGGGCGTGGAGGGCGTCTGGGGGCACCTTGAAAGATGTGGGAGCTGAGGCCTCTGGGGTGAAACCTGGGCCTAGAAGAACAGAACATGCCCCACAGATGGCTGCTATTATTGTTTTCCTCGTACTGTCCCACATAGGGTGGGTGGCGGTGCCTCTGCTCGCCAGTGAAGGGACAGGCTCACAGGTGCAGGTTACTCGCCTGAGGTCACACAGCCAGTAAGTGCCAGGTGGGGCCCAAGCATGGGTCATTCATTTACCTCTCACTCATTCAACAATCCTGGACAGGTCATTGGAAATAACAACTGGTCTGTGCAGAGAGCGAAACAGACTAATGGGATCGAGTGAGCCCTGGGGCAGGGGCCACGCTGCCCCTGATGGGGACAGCTGTCAGAGGGGGCCCTAGTGCAGCTGAGACCTCAGAAGAAGCCCACCTCACAAAGATCTGAGGGGGCATTCCTGGTGGGCAGCAGAGGGGGCAGGTATTCCCGCAAAGGTAGAGTCGGGCATGGTCTGTCTAGGGACAGGGAGGCCAGGGGCTTCTGACTAAAGTGACAACAGAAAGGTGTGGGTGGTGAGGCTGGAGGCCCGATCACACAGGGCAGGTGTTCTCGGCCCCACCTACGCATTCGGTTCACCTGGCCCCATCCCAGCCTGGACATCTTATCTTAAAATATGCCATGATACTCCTCACCCAGGCTTGGAGGTGACTGATGTAGGGCCTTGAGAGCCGTGGGAAGAAGTTTGGATTTCAGTGCAGCGTGCTGTTATGTTTCAAGCCAGAGAGCAGTATGCATGGATTCATAGGTAGCTGTGTGACTTTGAGCAAGTGACTTCACTGCTCCGGGCCTCAGTTTTCTCATCTAAAAAATGGGGCTAATATGGAGCGCCTGGGTGGCTCAGCGTGTGGGTTCAGCGTCCAACTTTGGCTCAGGTCGTGATCTCGCGGCTTGTGAGTTCAAGCCCCAGTTGTGTTGACAGCTCAGAGCCTGGAGCCTGCTTCAGATTCCGTGTCGTCTTCTCTCTCTGCCCCTCCCCCGCTTGCGCGTGTGCACTCTCTCAAAAACATTACCAGAAAAATGTTTTTAACAGGGCTAATATCAGTCTCATAGAGATGTTAGAATGAAATGAAATAATGTCTGTGACAGGCTTAGGACAGTGCCCAGGGCACAGTAAGTGTGCCGGAAGTGTCAGCTGTCCTGGTGACATTTTCACAGACGTGGTCTCGCTGCCTCCTGGAGCACATGTGGGGTGGGAAGCACAAGTCAGGAGGCTGCACTGCGGGGGTGCGGGCATGGAGGCTGGCTGGGTGCCGGCCACTAGGGACATGGATGGCACAGGCCAGTGTTCCTACCCCTAGAGGCTCGGGATCAGTGGGAGAGTGGGGGTAGGGTGGGCGACACGGCCTGAGGGGCATCTGACCAGGTGGGGGAAGGCAGGGGAGGCTTGCTGGTTGGGGAGAAGCCACCTGTATGGGTGCAGGGGGGCAGGGGGGCAGCGCGGCGAGCACAGAGGAAGGGGGAGCGGGGTATGTAAAGGCACAAGGGGAAGAACAGGAGGTGTGTGGAGGGAAGGGTGGGCTCCCCCAGGTGGGCTGAAGGCAGGCGTGAGACTTGCTTCATGTTTGGGGAAGGCAGGTAGGTGGTGGGAGACACGAGCCTGCATTTAGGGTTGAGGACTTTCCAAGGGGAGTGCAAATAACGTGGCCTCCACGCAGGTGTGGATCATGTGTGAAGGCCACTGCCTCAAGGTGTCTGTGGACGGTCAGCACCTGCTTGAATACTGCCACCGCCTGAAGAACCTGCCTGCCATCAACAGCCTGGAGGTGGCGGGTGACATCCAGCTGACCCATGTGCAGACATAGGCGGGCTCCCTGGCCCTGGGGGTAAGGGAAGGGGCGTGCTGCTGTTCGTATCTGCTCCTCACCTCCACCTTCCCTGTCCCTGCCCGGGACTTTCCAGCTACCTGACGATCTGGGGACTTTTCTGGAGAGACTGTGTTCTTGTATGGCTCTGCTTCCGGCTGCAGCCGGCCTGGAGGGGAGGAGGGCAGCTGGCGGCGGGTGGGGGGCGGCGCCTTCCTCAGAGCAGTACCTGGGGCTCCAGCAGCCGCCCCAGTCCTGCCGTCTGAGGAGAGGGGGGTGGTCCCCACAGGTTAAGCCCTATGTTCAGTCCCCTTGGCAGAAAGGGAGAGCCCAAGATCCCAGACCAGGCCTGCACCCCATCTGCCCCTCTGTCACACTCCCT